CATCGAATCGAGACCCATCCAACACGCCTGAGGGGATCCCAGTCGGAGTGAAAGACTATCATCCCTTGATGGTTTAGGTTAGGGCGTAAGGATCCGAAAGTAGGGTCCAAGGCTACCCGGAGCAGTTGGCAGGGGACACGTTTTCTTCTTCGCTCCTGGCCCGCTTCTAGGGTTTACCTACGCCATCGAATGTAGTATTTCATGGCTAAGACCTCCATGATGAATAAGAAGGTAGCCAACAAAAGGTACCAGATTACAGGGCTTGGGTAGAGTTGACAGTTGTAGTCACAGTGTTAGGGGACGGTTGTAGTCACAGTGTTAGGGGACGGTAGACAAAGGCTTTTCCAATTCGCAGGCTGTTAGTGTTCTGCTTTGTTGTCGTTGTTGCGAGCTTCTGTTCGTACATCTGCATCTCTCGGTGATAAAGCGTTTATGGTGGATGTGTTGTGGTTTATACTTATATATATATATATATTTATTTATTTATATTTATATTTATGTACACGTATATAGACTTCATGTCGTGGTGTATTCTCAATCCTACGTGCCGTAAGCCCGAACCTACGTACGACTCTCTTCTTCGAAGCCTTGTCATAATATACTACAACATACCACGACAGCTATATATGCTAGCAAAAACTTCATATCACAGATTATATTCATTACATACTAGCAATTACTGGCATATACTTTACTGCCTACTACAGTATGCTATAATCTTCCCGGCGCGAACTCCAAGCACATATGCAGTAGCCACTCCGAGGTCTTGGGGGTGGGTGCCTCAGTTTTGCCCTGCACCGGGCGCTGTGTTGAGGGTCGTTATACCCGTATAGGATCCTTATGAAGTTCCCTAGCAGGAACAGATCTTCCCTGACCTTTCCTGCGATTCTTCGCTCTTTCCGATGCCTGCTTAGGCTTTTTCGGGGTCTAGGGCTTAGGTTTACATTTGGCTGAGGGTTTAGGGTGTATAAGGGCTCAGGATCAGCGTTCAATTGCCTACAGTCTCCATTGCAGTTCCTTTGTTGGGGTTACCTAGCAGGATCCTACTTATAAAGTTGGTTCAACCAAACACCACAATGGAGAGAACGGGTAACCCGACAAGATGTTGCGATTCGGTTTGGGCGGAGAAGACCCCACAGGTTTTCCTTCGGACCGATGTTCGGGTGCCCGAGGTGATGCCAACCCTGGGCCTAAACCCTAAACCCTAAACCCTAAACCCTAAACCCTAAACCCTAAACCCTAAACAGAGACAGAAAGGCGAAGCCCAAAGACTTGATCTGGGATGACTTGGGTTTTGACTATCAGTCGATCGCTTGGTGCTCGATGTTTGGAATGCGTCTTTTCGGGTTTGCCTCGGCGGTTTCTAAGCCCAGAACAACACACCCTTAGACCTACATAGATCCACGCTTGTGAAACTTCAGCACCTTATCTTACCTTACCGACACAGCCACCGTCCAAAAACGAAGCTAAGCCCAAATCCCTACTAGTATTCAGGCCGGAGACTGCCAGAAGGCTTCAGCTGTGGCTGTTGGTAGTGCAGCAGGTGCACATGCAGCTCTACTGTCCTTTGTGTGGTCTAGGGTTGCCGGGCAATGTTGGAGTGCACGGGTGACCAGTTTGTGGTTGCGGGGATGCTCTGTCTGCTTTAAGGTAGTAGGGTCAGGGTACATTCAGAGAGACCTCGTTCAAAAGGGTACAGTAGGGTTTGATTGGGGTTCACACGGCTTGCGGTCCAGGCTGTTCGCTTGTTTCGGATGAGGCAAGACGGTGATTGCAAGGATGCCTTTCAGCAAAGCTCGCTCTGGTACAGTGCTGCCACCCCGAGCACAAGGAAGCGACACTTGCCATAAGCAGTGTGTTTGGTTTCGGGTTTATCCATGACTGCTGTCACGGGTGCAGCCTGGAACGATTCAGCTGTCCTAGAATGACGTTGCAAGCCAGTTACAAAAATGCTTTCCATGGATAACATATAGCAGATGTCATCGATGATCACAGGGTTGGTGGCACTGGGGTTACGTACCACGTTGTGTTCCGCAGTGCATGAACTTAACATCCAGGAGCTACCGTCTCCACCATCAGCCGAAGCGAACATTTGTTTGATTTTCACGCTTCAAACCGGGAGCTAATAACTTTTGCCCAGGTAGCAGCGAAACAACAGAAAATGATCATGTGTTGTTACTCTCATGCGTTCACATGCGTGTGTGCGTGTGATTACTGCCAATCTGCGGCTTCTGCTGCTTTCTAAACATACGATGAGCATCTGTGAACCTGCTGCTTTCCTAACTACTCTACTGCGAAATCAATGCGGCTTATGGCTGTTACTGCGACAGGTACTTGTTGACGAGACTTGGTTTAACGTACGATTGCCAGAAGCCCCTTGAGCCTGAGTGCTTCAAGCATTCGACCACGAGTTTCTTGCTCCAACCGACGGCATGGATTGTTGAATGCTTGCTGTAGCTGCTGACAGTAGCCACGCCATGAACCACCTTCAAGGTTTCATTGGTTGCTCGACGCAAAGCCCCACACCCCAATTATCGCTACATGCACTGCAGGGATGAGTCAAGCAAAGCAGATCACGCAGAGAAAGCCTTGCAGGTTCACCCTCACACATCACACGATCATCCTGAACCCTACCTTGAGGGTCCAAAGGACCGAATAATCATATACTTGGGTTACGGAAAGTAGCTTTGTAGGTTAGTATTCAGAAGAGTTTGTGATTACTAGGTACTTTTACCCCTAGGGCTCCAGCCTAAAGCCCCAAGTCATCCAATGTCGAGATACTTTATTATGCGCTCAACAAGAAACAGGGCCCTTGTGCCGGAAATTCAAAGCTGTCCATTATCAGTCCTGGCCCCTGAACTCTAAAACTAGGGTTTAGGGTTTCGGGGTTTAGGGTTTAGGGTTCTAAACCCTCAGTACCGAATCCTACACCTTAAACCCTCAATCCCGAACCCTAGACCCTGAACCTCAACTAATCCGCATGCGGTAATGTCGCACCGGCCCGCTGTGCCACGCCGGAAGGCGCCCCGCTTACTTCATCAGGTGTTTACCCAGAGGCCCTAAAGTAGTTCCTTTTTGGGGTTCATATATAGAATCCTAGAAGGTAATCCCAAAAAGGAACTACTAAGGGGCCTATGGGTATTGCTGTAGCACTTGCATATAGAAGCCTTGACCTTCTGCGGGTCGAAGCTGATTGTGCCCGCATTCTGTCCCCAAGCAGCGATGGAGTCTCACGACGCCACGAGCACCAGCTAGAGTCATTTATTCTACTCCAGCGCTCGAAATACCCATGATCCCTATAAACCCTAAACCCTAAAAGACCATCTTGGCTCTAGCAAGGGTATTTGTGGAGCCATCGTCTCCAACCCTCGGCAGCCTACCTCTTGAGGCTTTGGGCTGGCTAAGTCATGGCGAAGCGCTCCTCGGACATAATGTTCAGCTGCTGGGAAGGATTTCCATGGTTTTTATGTGTATGTATATATATATATATATACAAAACGGGACACTGTGAGACGGTCTCTATGTGTATATATATATATATATATAATTATGTATATATTTATACATATATATCAAGTTTGGGACCATTTGGACCCTCGGTTCAACCAAGCGCCTCAAGAGCACAGGTACATAGAGGCCCGTGGGGCAGATAACGTATGAGTAAGGCAACTATACGTAAAATCAAAAAATATTCCAAGTGAAAGAAATATCCTTCAGGGACTCATGGGACCATGGGGCGTTTGAAGGCTTTTCTCGGATGATCGGATGTTAGATGGGTTTGTACGAGTGAGGCTTTGGAGACAAAAGATCATAATCTTGGCGCAAAGCCGAAGAAAGCTCTTAGGGCTTAGTACTTAAGCTTTGGAAGCTGCATGGGAGTGTCGCCCTAGCGCCCGACGGTTCGGCATTTTGAGCTTTCGGGTTTCGGTTTTATTGATTTCGGTTTAGGGTTTAGGGTTTCAAAAAGCACAAACAATCAAGTCACAAGCCCGGAAGCTTGACCCTCCCCATCAGGCGCAGCTTGCGACAAAGCTTGAGAGAAGGAGCAACTCACGTGCTCTGCTTCTCCTAGATCCAGAGTCCGGAAGGAGGAATCCAAGAAGCCTATATCTCTAATTCATGTAGGGACCTAAGTAATTACGAATACTATTTCGGGGTTTCCTGATTATAATTATAGTATAATGGGCCCCTAAACCCTATTCCAAATATTAAGGCCCCTATATTACGTAATTATTTCCTGACCGAGAGTATGCCTTTAAGTTAAGAGCCCTTTCGGCCAGAAGCCGGGACCCGGCGAATGCAAGGAGCTTTGAAATTTAGGGTTTGGGGTTTAGGTTTTTTTAAGGTTTCTACGGGGTTGCATAAGCTTAAAGCACCAAAATCCCGTCTAGGACTGCGAGCGGCCTCCTTCGCCCACATCTTCGAACGACCCTAAACCCTAAACATTGGGGTAATGCGAGATGTGGGCCCAAGGAGCTGGGTTTCGGGTTTAGGGTTTAGGCAAAAAGACCCGACACCCTAAAACCCAACTCAGTTTCTGAAGCCCATTCAGGGTAGGGTTTAGGATGTAGAGTTGTAGAGTAGAGGGTTAAGGGTTTGAGGGCGACAGAGAGAGAGAGAGAGAGAGAGAGAGAAAGAGAGACGACAAGTGCATGTACAGGTACAAGGCATACATGCAACCAAACAGTTGTGCCTCTGATTCTGGGCTTCTTGATCACGCCTCGAACTGTTGCTTGCCCAGGCCGCAGGCAGCTCTGTAGCCGCAGCAGAGTGCTATTTGGCAGCTGCAGCCTCAGCAAGGGTCTGAATTCTTGAACTGGTGCTCTTTAGGGGTTTAGGGGTTTAGGGTTTAGCGTTCTCGAACTGGTGACCATGACTTAAGCAGTTTGTACCACGCCCGTTAGAGTAGAGTCCATGCCCTACAAACCCTGAAGGGCGAAACCCTCTGCGAGATTTTCGCTCGACTATTGATAAGGTTTAGAAACCGATCGACATGCGTTTCAACGTGCAGAAAAAACTTTGACCATACAGCGGCGCTCCTGTGATATCCTACACCAGCACGATTCCTTGAACGTGCTTGGGGAATCTTGGGGAGGGTTTCTAAATCCAGGACGGGGCTTGTTCCCATGTGTGCCGTGGGCCCAGTAAGCTCCTCGGTGCATTGCTTTCCGGTAGAGACTGCGGCCGTGTTAACGCTAAACCCTAAACCGACGTACTTGGGCGTGTGGTCATGGTCCGGGCAAAGGAACAAGTCCCCAACAACACCCGTTGCTTGGGTGGACGGTTTTCCCCCGTGAACGCCGGAGCCCCACTTGGTAGAGTTTAGGGTTGCGGAGCTGTCAAACTGCAAAGGGGTTTCGCTTCTTCGAGGTTGATCGCACATTTGCAAAGATTCAGACCTCGAATTTCGCAGCTCGTGCGTAGAGGGTTCCGGGACAAGACAATACTGTGACAATACTCGTAGTTGAAGGATTTCTTTTCTAATCGCCTAGCTAGCCTAGCTACACGCGGTTTCGAAATGGATTCTGGAATTCTGGGTAATCGAAGAGCCACTGCGAAGCCGTTGCAAAGTAGTGCTTGACGTTGAGGCCTTCGCTCACCGTCCGTACTGCTACACGTGCAGGATTTAGGGCAGAGCCCCGAGTGCGAGTCCGTCTCGGTTTAGAGTTTAGGGACTTATGAGCGGCATACAGGGCTACCAGCGGTTCGTGATGCAGCAATCTGACCGGGAAAGATGATGTAAAGGCCCGACACCTTCCAACCTTATCGAAACTACGAACCCAACCCCTTTTCAACGACGATGTAAAAGTCGGACTAATTCGTACCGATATCCCTTATAGTCCCTTTTGCAACTATAGCAACCTGCACCCCACCCAAAACCCTGTTCTAAGTAGACAGGCCCTTCTGTTGTACTCGGAGAAATCGATCTGAGCTCCTACTGCCGACTGGCCGAGTGAGAGGCCTGACTCTCCTGGCATTCGCCCCACTGATAGCCATACTCTGGGGCAGTGTCAGGCTCGCGCCGGGTAAGTCAGGGTTTAGGGTTTCGGTTTTGGTTCAGGGTTTAGGGTTCCGCTTTTGGGTTAGGGTTTAGGGATGAGTGTTTGGTGGAAGGTTCAACTGGTGCAATTAAGGGCATAGCATGGTCTCCTGCGATGGCCGCATGAGAAGGATCTGCACAAGAGCCCCGGTGAGAATACATCCGGTCCAGTTGTAACATGGCCTACACCCTAGAAACCATGAATTCCAAGAAGCCCTACACACTAATCTCAAAACACAAGTTAGAACTTAGCCGGATGACCCTTAAGCCTTCAAATCCTTAGTTTGTATGCTTAGCCCCTAAGCTACACAAAAGGTTCCCGACCCTTGAAGCTTTGCATTCCTTAACCTTATAATACCCTGCAGCGGTTAGTCTCGCAAGCTCTACACCCCAAGGCCTAACCCTCAAGCCTGCCCTGGGGCCCATGTCTAGATTTGTTATGTTTGGCTCGTCCTCGTGTTGTCGGTTCTGCTGGTGCCAGCGCGCCCAGCCGTGCGGGCCTAAGAACCCAGCGAACCACCCCAGCCCGCCCCTTCCTCCACCCGAACCCCCGGAACCCAAAATCCCATCAGCACAGTTGCAGACCCTTGAAGCAACCCTAAAGTTGAAAGGAACCTGTTAAGATGCCTTTGAAGAAGGCCATAACCACCAAGACAGCAAAAGAATTCCGCAAAGAATATACCTGAAGTCCCCAGAACAACTTATGAGCCAGAAAATAAAATCCGTTCAGACCCTAAACCCTGAACCCTGAACCCTAAATTATGGTTTAGGATTTAGGGGCCCTAAACCCTAAATCCTAAACCAACCCTAAACAAAACAGGTGGCAGAGCCGCTTCACAGAGCCCTCGAAGGCCCTCCAGGACTTCTTTCGTTCTGAGGCCGGGCTTCGAAGGTCTTATAAGGTTAAGGGAGTTTAGGGTTTACTTGGACCCCAAATTACCTACATTTTTAGGGTTCCTTATTATATAGTTTCTTTATATAAGTCATGAAAAAGGTAGGTTCTTTGGGGTTTGGGTTGGGCCTAGGGGTTTAAGGGTTAGGGTCTAGGGTCTAGAACTTTAGGCTTTAGGGTTAAGGGGGCTCCTTTACGGGCCTAAGGCCTTCGACAAGTATTCCCTTAAGGGGTCCTTTGAAAGCGCTCCTTCTAATGTTCTAAAGGGCATAATATAGGGGCCTAAATACGTATTTATTCTTGTTTTTTGAAGGGGGGGTCCTTATTATAAATATAGTATAATGGGGTCCCTGGGGTTTAGGGCTTCCAGGCTTTCGTAGGAGGGCATCAGGGGGTTTAGGGGTCTTGGTTGAGGTTGAATATTCGTCCGGGACGCGGCATTGCAGGCTTGTGACGGTGTCAGGGTGACAAGCTTTTGTTTGACAAGAGAGGATGAAGGAGTTCGGATCTCTGATAGCTCGCGGTATCCGTGTTGCTGCGTGGGTTATAAGCTCTAGACTTCAGGGGTTCAAAGTGGTCCCCACAACTGCTTTAGTGGTGAAGGGCTTAGGGGTGGGGGCCTCCGCAGTTCTGTAGTACCCCTAGTTTAGGGTTTAGGGTTTAGGGATTAGGGTTTAGGGTTTAGGGTTTAGGGGTTAGGGGTTAGGGGTTAGGGTTTAGGCTAGCTTTTCACATAGGTCTTGTGCAATGCGCACGCAGCCCCCCCTGTGTGAGGCAGATGCTGCGGTCAAGGGAACCATAGCGGACGTACCCAACTACGTGCATGAGCAGCTCCCGGCGGCTCATCTCCAAGGGTTTAGGGTTTAGGGTTTAGGGGTTTGGGGTTTAGGGGTTTAGGGGTTTAGGGTTTAGGGTTTAGGGTTTAGGGTTTAGGACCCTAAAACCGACTCCAGGCGAAGTACGAAGCCTGTTGCAAAAAAGGGTTTAGGGTCCAAGAAACCCCCCCAACCCATCAAACAAAGGCAGAGAGCCCAAGGCATTAATTCAGGAATCCTACACCGACGACCCTTAGACCAGAAAGCCCCCGAGCCCTACAAACCCAAACCCAATAACATCTGTAGTCATGCCAGTTGCGAGAGCTTGCAGCCCGAACCCCCAAAACCACCAAAAGACCCTAAACTCTCAAAACCTAAGCTCCAAACAAGCCACGAAGACCCAACCCGCAGAGCCGCTCAGAAGAGCAGACGGTTGGCCAACTATTCTGATCCCCGGAAAGCTCAAGACCCCTTCAGCAAGGAATATACGGTTCCATAGCAATGTTTTCATTTTAGTTTCAAAACCCTGAACACCCCAAAAGACGGATATCAGGTTTTTCAAACAGGGTTTTACTTATCCCTAAAGCCCAAATCGCAAGAGCGGGAAACCCGTTTTAAATAAGGAAGATCTGCCAAATTGCGCGGGGCTTCATCTTGTGATTTAAAGTTTATAGGATTTAAGGCTTACGCTTATTCTAGGTATAGGCCCCCGTAATAGGGGCTTCGGAAACCCTAATTCCTGAGCCTCGGCCTACAAATCTTGACTGTGGCTCAAAGGGCGCAAAGGGTCGCCCAGGAGAGAAAGTCGCATGGCTACGGGAATAGTATCGAACCCAGCCTCAGGAGACAACACCTGAGAGTTATGGCTTGGCGTTTAGGGTTTAGGGTTTAGGATGGTATTACCGGCGAGATCTTGCAGAATTCAGAGTTCCCAGAAAGGGTCCACAGTTCGAGTTTCCCCTGCTTGTTTCGGCGTGGGATAACACCCCACAGTCGATGTGCGTATCTTCTGTTTGAGTGTCAGCAAGGAATTTATGCTCCGCCGGATTAGTTTGCTTTATCCACAAGGCTGCATTCCCCACACCCTGGCCCTAGACCTTACTACTCGTATCAGTCATGGCAAGCAGACGCACGTCTCCAAAAGAGCTTGCCAGACCAAGCCCAAACCCAAGCCCGCCACCTGGCACCCCTATACCTGACGGTGCAGCAGCAGCTGCAGCAGCACTCCCTGACTCAGGTGCCCGAATTTCCCCAGCGCACCTTCCAGACCCGAAACGCAATGCCCTAAAGCCCCAACCCAAAGGGACGACCCGTAAACCTACGCTAGGATGAGAGTTCCGAAATCATAAACATGGCCGCGCGGGACCGATCTCGCTCCGCAGTGGTGCGCGCGTCCCCACGTGCTCCTGCCGGACAAAGCAGAGGGTTGAGGGTTTGGAATTCAGGTTTGAGCGTTCAGGCTTTAGAATCGTGCTTATATAGGGCTAATTAGGGTTGCCGCATCAGTACTTCATATCGACGTCAAAGTCATTAATGCTAATGTTCGTTCCTCTTTGTCTCGATGATGAAGACTCCTTTTTGGGCTTCATTAGAATGACGCATTCGTCGGTTATTTGGGTATAGGGTTTAAAAACCAGCTGATGGAAGTTATGGTTACCTGGAGCTTTTCCAAGAGACCTACAAACCTTAAACCCCGAACCCTAAACCATGAACCCTCCCAAACTCTAAACCGCTTGCAGAGTCCGAGTTGCGAGAGTCCAAACCCTAAACCGTGACCTCAGCTTTCATGCTTGGCTGTATAGGATGTTTAAGGGAGGGGTTTCTAAGAGGTATGTAACCCAATGATCCCTAATTCTCCCTGGTGCTCCCGACAAGGTTCCCTTGGAGCCCCCTACGGATTCCTTGTACCTTCCCCCCTTGAACCCTCCCTTAAGGATCCTATCATGGTTGTTTTTTCGGAGCCCGGAACTCCGGTTCTTGGCTTTCGACCCTGTAAACAAAACTTCGAAGGCCTGAGTTCTTGTTGCGGAACTTAACTTAAGTCGCCATAGATTGTTTGGTTCCTGTAAGGGTTCTAGAAGGGTTTGGGGGGATTTCGGGAGCTTAGTTTAATTTACAAAAACAGGGACCTATGGTAAAGAATGGGGTTTCGTTGTTATGCCAACTTAAACTCAGTTCTTCCACACAAAAACCCAGAGGCCTACTATCCCATCAGGCGCACTATCCGAACCTTTGGGGCTCTTTTCCTGGAAGAGGTGGTTTAGGGTTTAGGGTTTAGGGTTTAGGGTATAGGGCTGAGGCGTACGGTCCAAAGAGGGTTTAATGTCTCCCATGCAGTCGAGACTTTGGCTAGCCTGCAGAGAGTTCAGCTGCAAGGCAACCACGAGAAGCTCGAAATACTGGGCTCTATGTCGTAGTAAGCCAGCGATGTATATTGGTAATGTTCGCTCCATTACATGTAGTACCTACTTACTCAGAATAGAATATCCACCGAAGCCCTATTCTACTGCTTAAGTCCCCTTCAGTGCCTTTAAAGCACAGTAGCAGGGTCCAAGGTCTTGCGTTTCCGAACATATGCAAGCACTCCTAAGTCTGGAACCCCACAGCACCCATAGACCCTAAACCCCGGAACCGTAATCCCTAAACCCTAAATCCTAACCCCTAAACCCTAAACCCCTGAACCCTGAACCCTGAACCCTAAACCCAAACCCTAAACCCCAAAAACCAAAACCCTAAACGCCGGATTACCTCGAGGGCCAGAACTTTCCATAGCGAAGGGTTCTCTCATGCCGGACCCGTTCAAGGGCCCTTCTGATCAGAGTGCGGTTTAGGGTTCAAGGTTTCTGTTGGGATCCTGCAGAAACCTGGGTTTAGGGGATTTAGGGTTAAAACTAACTACCCGCATCGTGGAAGAAATTTGATGTTCCATCACGCACGATCTCCACCAGATACCATACCCCAGCCCGACCCATGCAGGATGCAGAAAGAATCTGCTGTTTTTCACCGGAGCAGCTGGCTAGGCAAGTTTTTTGTGGCTTATATCAATAATAGGATGGTGCAGACTCGTCGAGTTAGATGTGCCCCAGCAAGGGACCTTGACATCACTACTGTTTTGGCTCATGTCCCATATAGGTTGATCGCAGCAGATGTAGAGCACCATGCCTTTCAGTTGGACTGGTTTGTCCTTAGCTGAAACCCTAAGCCCTAAACCCTAAGCCCAATGCCGTAGGCAATCTTCGCGTACACCGAAAGAGCCCTCAACAAAAGCAACCGGAGTTCCGTAATGTTGGAGCCTCAATAATCAGACTAGGGTTTAGGGTTTAGGGTTTAGGGTTTTTGGGGCTCCTATTATACTTACAGTATACTAGACACCGAAACCCTATTCTGATTCTTCAGGCCCCTATCTTATATTACCCTTATAATAGCCCATATAGAACCCTTTAGTTGAACCCTTTAAAGGAACCCCCAAAACCCTATTCTGATTCTTCAGGCCCCTATCTTATAGAACCCTTATAGTAGCCCATATAGAACCCTTTAAGGAACTTGTTTAAAAGAGCCCCCAAAACCGTATTCTGATTATTAAGGCCCCTATCTTATAGAACCCTTATAGTAGCCCATATAGAACCCTTAAAGGAACCCTTTAAAGGAACCCCCAAAACCCTATTCTGATTATTAAGGCCCCTATATGAATATGGCTCTTGGGCTCCGAGAATCAGAAGCTCTCGCCTCGGACCTCAGTTCTTAGCTCAGGTCCTGCTGCGGCCACCGTGAAGGCCTTCGACGAGAAGGAGACTCATACTTTAGGGACCCACAAAGGACATAGGGTTTTAGGGGTTATAGGGGTTTAGGGTTATAGGGTTGATAGGGTTTATAGATTTAGGCTAGGAACCCAAAAAGGACATAAGCATAAGCATGTCATAGGGATATCCCTACCTTATTGGGCTTCATTATAAGGGGGGGTTATATGGGGTATCCCCATCCAAATGTTTGCTGATGTGCTCTCTTGGGGCCCTAATAATTGTTTATAGTAAAGTATAGTATGGGTACAGCTTATAGCATAGCCTAGTATATATTATCGTCCATCATACTATATAGTAGTAGCTGCAGTGGGCACCAGCATGGATGTCTTGGGGTTTAGGCTTTCAGGGCTTTCAGTTTAGGGTTTGGTGTTTCGTTTTTTTTTTCATCGGCTTCAACTTTAGGCTTTGAGTGTTTCTTTGAACTAAGGAAGACACAACAGCCAACCGCTTGCATAGAAGTACGGCTTTGGAGGGGCAGCCGTGGCCTTGTCATACGTCCCCTAAGGTAGAAGCTTAAGTTCCTGGCCTAGTATCAAAGGTACAGGCATGCATCGCAACTGTCCAGCATCCGGTGGTTGTGATGTGTGTAGAACCCTACACCGTAAACCCTGAACGGCGTGTACGGCTTTTGCCGTTGGTCTGCTTCTCCCTTTCCAAGGTGTAGGGCAGTTTTGCTCGTTTTCTTTTTGAGTTCCCTTATTCAAACCAAACAGAAGGACAAAGGGTACCCTCATTATTTCGGGGCTATTGGGGAACCTAGTTCAGGTTTAGGTTTGAGGCTTATAGACACCTCTTCTTAAAATAACAGACCCAGGCCAGCAAGATGTTGAACACACACGGCCCGACAGCACCAAGCACGTCGAAGATTTAGGATGCCTTTGGTGTGCTGTAGATAGCATTGCTCCTTGTTCCGTTTTGGCCAGTCGAGGCCCTTAACCCTGCCCTTCGAAGGACCCAGACCAAGGGGGCAGCATTCTCCGGAAGACGGCATCCATGGTGGAGAACGGGTCTCCCATGCACATGTCGAGGAGGAGCAAGTTTGCGGCTTGGCCGGAATGATACAAAAATCATTCAAGCACATGCTCAATCATGAAACAGAAGCCCCAAACCCTAAAAGCCCCAAACCCGAAGCGGGCTAAATATGTTTCTCTGTGGGGCTAGCCAGGTGGTAGAACAGGGAGCGACATCGTGGAGAAAAGCCACGAGTCGCGCACCGACACTGTAATCAGTAGGTATCGTCGCTTGCATCGCTCTTGTTTTGGGCCGGGAGCGGCTGATGTCGAAAACCACGACATCTCGAGTTTCAGTAGAGGGCGCGGCATTTGGATCATCCTGAAGCTTGAAACAGTCTATGCACTTCCGGGACATTACTATGCCAAAAAACCAGGCGAAAGTATCTTTTTTGGGCGAGCTGCTCGCTTGTTCCATGGAGGTCCCATTATACGTCTAGGCCATGTGCGATACCACACAGCAGGCATGGATGCTCTGGTGCAAGTGAGCTATGCATTATGGAGAGTAGAGATTGAGTTAAGGGCTTGGGATATGGTCGCCCTGGTCCCATCATGCCTTTGGCCCTGGATGTTGCCAGGTTGAGGCATGCATGCTCCGGTCCCATTGTGCAAGAGACACAGAGGAGAGGCTCCCCGTGCCTACTCCTAGATGCTTTCAACCTACGCCTCAAATCCGAAACTGAAACCAAAACCCTAAACCCTAAACCCAAAACCCAAGACTAAACTAGGGATATATGTAGGGCGACAAAAACTCCTAAGGTTTGGTGTGTGAAGTCGAAGTTCGCGCGGCCAGATGGGTCCAAGCTGCCCCTAGGCTGCCGTTGGGTTTAACGGTTTAAGGCTATAACTCTAACTGTTAACCCTAAGCCCTAAACCCTAAACAGGAATGCTTTAGGATCTAGGTTTTGAGCCCTGGGCTTAGGATTAAAATAGGGGCCTTAATAATATCAATAGGGTTTGGGGGTATATTATACTATGATTTTAATAAGGAGCC